CATGAGTTCCTTATGAACTCCTAATCCTCATTCATGCAGGCTTTGATCCCAAAGGCTAATCACGCCGTCATGAGTATCATCACCCATGGACGTTACAACAGTCAACAGTTTGCGGGAGCCAAACAAATACAAGCATGAATTATGCTAGCGAAATTAGATGCCCGAGCTGCAACCCATAAGAAAGTGCATGTGCACGGGGCACCACGGCATGGAGTGCAATACGAGAACACTTCGGAGAGCATGCCGGTCATACACTTGGGTGGCGAGTCATCAATAATGGATGATCGGGGTAATGTGAGAATCAGGGCAGTTTGCTCACAGCAAACAGAGAGCAGCTCGGCGACAAACAGAGCCATGATTGGGCAGTGATCCGATGACCGTCCAAGCGACCATATGAATCCCAGAATGCTGAGAGATTATGTCAGAACATGTTTAAAACATTCTCAGCACATAAGCACGGTTTCGCACCTGGTGGCACGTTCCCATAAAAGACCAGCTTGGTAATTTGGCTGCTACTATCGCCTGAACGAGGTGTCTGTGGGAACTAAGCGGCCGCTAAATCCAGTATTTGGGGGCTGGGCGTTTTGCAGGAGGCCCGGCAGGGCTGCACAACTTGGACAGCCTCTTGGGACTTTAAAGTAAGTTAAGCGCTGCGACACGCTCAAGCAGCCTTTACTTCCCCGGTGAATGTCAATTAGAAGCGTACAAAAATAGGTCCTGGAATATCCTACGACAAAGTTCTATAAATGAACGTTGAATCTCGGAACATACTTCCGACATATTGATCTTAAGGACTTATGTCCTGGAAACACCTTCACATACATTGAAATGGACGCAGGATGAAAAAATAAATTGAAGGACCATGCATATATGTTGAATCCGGGAACATCTGGGCTTCAAGACTCAAAACATATATCTGAGATCAACTTCTGCGATCAAAATTGATCGTCACCTATCGATTCGACAAGATAACTGTAGTGTATTTGATGTTTGTGATATCAATCGTAAGTATGCGGTTTACGTGATCTGATCTTGTTTCTTATTCCATGTTTGCATGTTTTGTTATCCGAGGCATGTCAAGAAATAGTGAGTACCCTGCATGATAAGACTATGACGATCGGATCCACCCGAAGCATTGATTTGCGTTCACATTTCAACCCAGATGACCCCTGCTCAGAAATTGTAATGAAGCTTGTCATTTTTACACGAATATTTCACAACGATCTGCTCGGCGAGGATGGTTTAATACGTGGGCTGT